GGCCAACCGTGGTCCCCTTTTGTGTGGAGAAACATTATGTACATACTTAGGAGCATTGATTTAAATTTGTCCAATGCATTCTGGTGCAGGCTAGTTGGCTGTAGTGTGCTGCCAGTCACATCATGAGTGTGAAGGGGGATAGTAGACAGTCTGGCACCATAAATCCTTTCACACATTTCAGTGTGTGGTGGAGTGCCATCTCTCTCTCTCTCTCTCTCTCTCTCTCTCTCTCTCTCTCTCTCTGTTTCCTTGAGGAGAGAGAAGTATCTTGGGTGGATCATCCAGTTCATTCAGTTGTTGAACAATACAGGAGGGAGATAAGACATAAGGAAAGCTCCGTCTGGCAAAGCAGAAAATCATCTGCCACAAAATGCCATTTAGATTTGCACTTCCTGTCATGGAGAGCTCTGTGACTCTTCCACCGCTTCTCTCTGGTTTGTGGCCTGAAACAACCAAAGGAAGCTGTTTCTTAGCAGAAGGAAAAGTTGCTGAACTCTTGCCTTTCTGGTTATCTTTCTATTCATCTCCCTGAACTACTTCAGCTATATTTTCTTTGCCATTGGTGGACTGGGGAGCATAGTGAGCTGTGGAGAGGAGAAGCAGGTGCTTGTTTCACCTCTGCCTCCTTGGCCTTGCTTCCTCCTAGCTCGGCTCTTCTACAGAGGAGTCATTCTGCCCTGTCTCTCCTTGAGAGAGCTATCATCCCAGAACCCCTTTGATAGCACATGGGATAGAGTGGGATGGGGGTGAGAGACCCTGCCCATTGGGCATTATGTCCTCCTGTGCCCGATGGACTAAGTCAATAACTTGACTGATGATGTGCTCCCAGTCTGCTTCATCCCCACCCACTGGCAGGAGGAAGGTCTGGAAAGAAGAACCCACTTTGCCCTGAAGGGTCCTCATACAATGTACATCAGGGATGCACAGGGGCAGGGCAGGGGCCATTACCACACCGTTTCCCACATGCACTGGACTGCCAAGGGTTGCCCATGACTCCCTTTATTCAGAACTTAAAGTAACTGGCAAGTTGCTTCTGCTTTTATATTTTTAAAAAGACGATTCTGGTCTAAAAAAGGCAGGGAAGGAACAATGTTAAAATGGATAGTTCTGCCCCCTGGAAGCTTCTGGGAGCATAACGTGCCCATTTTAAGATTAAATAAAATTGTGGTCCCGTGGAGGCAGGCGGGCGGGCTTTGTGGTCCACATATGGTTTCTGGGATGGCCGTGGCCTGTCCCAGTTTAGACTGAGCTTGAAAAAGTTACTTCTTGAACTGTAACTTCCAGTGGCCTGTCCAGAAGCTGTTATCTAGAAAACTACTTTTCCAAGCTGTGGATGGAGAACCCTAATCATGCAGGCTTCTAAATCAAACACACAAAGCTGGCTCTCTGCTTCAGATCTGCCCAGCACCACCAAAATAAGGGTGCCTGTGAGACAGGACTGGTCGGGGTCAGTGAGGGTGGCCCAGGCCTACCACTAACCTTGCGGCCTATGGTGTAATGATTAATTTGCCATGCACACTAGGACTGAAGAGGTCCAGGTTCAAATTCTGTTCAGCCACAAGGCTTCCTGGGTGACCTGCTTCACGGCTGCTTTGCCTCACCCACTTCATAAAGATGGAGGATAATATGGAGCCCAGGAAAGAGAAAGAACACCTCATGTTTCTTTGCAGAGTGTAAAAAAATAAGCAACAATGGAAGTAAAAGTTACCATTAAAAACCACAGTATAGATCCCAGAACATATCAGACAAGTGTGGCCAGGGCCCTGACTGACCACAGTTTTGCTGGTTTCCTCCTCTGATGGGAGTCTTCTTCCTCATTTCTATCCTTTCTCCAAAGACTTCCCAGATGGGTAGCCATGTAAATAAACAAATGGGCATCAGCATCAGAGAGACGTTGGTTCGTTCATTTAGTCGTTTAGTTGTGTCCGACTCTTCGTGACCCCATGGACCACAGCACGCCAGGCCCTCCTGTCTTCCACTGCCTCCCGGAGCTGGGCCAAATTCATGTTGGTCACTTTGATGACACTGTCCAACCATCTCATCCTCTGTCGTCCCCTTCTCCTCCTGCCTTCACACTTTCCTAACATCAGGGCCTTTTCCAAGGAGTCTTCTCTTCTCATGAGATGGCCAAAGTATTGGAGCCTCAGCTTCAGGATCTGTCCTTCCAGTGAGCACTCAGGGTTGATTTCCTTTAAAATCGATAGGTTTGTTCTCCTTGCAGTCCAGGGGACTCTCAAGAGCCTCCTCCAGCACCACAATTCAAAAGCATCAATTCTTTGGCAGTCAGCCTTCTTTATAGTCCAGCTCTCACTTCCATACATTACTACAGGGAAAACCATAGCTTTGAATATGCAGACTTTTGTTGGCAAGGTGATGGCTCTGCTTTTTAAGATGCTGTCACGGTTTGTCATCGCTTTCCTCCCAAAAAGCAGGCGTCTTTTAATTTCGTGACTGCTGTCTCCATCTGCAGTGATCACGGAGCCCAAGAAAGTAAAATCTGTCACTGCCTCCATATCTTCCCCTTCTATTTCCCAGGAGGTGATGGGACAAGCGGCCATAATCTTAGTTTTTTTTTTAATGTTGAGCTTCAGACCGTTTTTTGCACTCTCCTCTTTCACCCTCATTACAAGGGTCCTTAATTCCTCCTCACTTTCTGCCATCAGCGTGGTATCATCTGCATATCGGAGGTTGTTGATATTTATTCCGGCAATCTTGATTCTGGCTTGGGACTCCTCCAGTTCAGCCTTTCGCATGATGTATTCTGCATATAGGTTGAATAAGCAGGGGGACAATATACAGCCTTGTTATATTCCTTTCCCAATCTTGAACCAATCAGTTGTTTCATATCCAGTTCTAACTGTTGCTTCCTGTCCCATGTATAGGTTTCTCAGGAGGTGGTGAGGCACTCCCATTTCTTTAAGGACTTGCCATAGTTTGCTGTGGTCCACACAGTCAAAGGCTTTTGCATAGTCAATGAAGCGGAAGTAGATGTTTTTCTGGAACTCTCAGGCTTTCTCTATAACCCAGTGCATGTTAGCAATTTGGTCTCTAGTTCCTCTGCCCCTTCGAAATCCAGCTTGTACTTCTGGGAGAGACAGACCTGTCCAAAGGCCGAGGTGGGCAGCAACCCTACTTCTGCCATCACTGTCACCGTCCTGATCACAAACCGAGCCTCTTGCCAGCACAAAATCTGCCATATATGCTGAACAGGACCCAGAAGTAAAAAGAGTTCTGTGCCCCAGTCAACATTGCCTCCATTGTCAAGGGAGCGTGGCAACATTTGTGGTGGTAATGGTTGCTATTGTTGAACCTCAAGGTCCCATACTTGTCCAACTAGCATGGCCAAGAGTTATGTCGGCTGCAAGATTCTGAAAGCTATAATCCGAAAAGGTAATTTTTTTCCCAAGTTCTACAAATATGCAGATGTATCTTGTCTGATTTAATTCAGGAAAGACAAAAAGCTCTTTAATCTCACTAGATTGAGAGCAAAGACCAAAGTCCAACTGAAATGCATGCGGGATTTCCTCTTTGCAGATGATGCAGCCATTGTTGCCCACTGTGTTGCAGAAGTGAGTGACACTGCTCATTCAAATAAGAGCTTTCGAAGTCAAACTTCTAATGTCAATCAATTAGAATACACATGTAGATTTATTTTGCTTACAGTGAAGATGATGGCATAACATTGGAAAGTGGCTTCAACCTATCTTGTTGAGGGCACTTGCTATCAGGGCACCAAAGGTTCACACAACATTTCCCACACTTCTAACATTAGTAATCCACTGTTTTACCCAGGAGTTGCACCAGTCTTTCAGTGCCATGACAATGAAACACAATCAAACAATCCCAGAGGAAAGCAGAGGTGGCTCTGGGCATTTAAGATCCTGCTGATTTTATAAGATGTTTTAGCTGGCTGTTTGGGCTGCAGAACTGAGTCTAATGAATAAATTAGTCAATGATAGACATGAACCTCAGGCCAGTAGATAAAGATCCTTACCTGGTGTTAAGAAATTGCTGAACTCTACAAATATTTATGTCACAATAAATATAATACATGCTACAGTGCCCTTCCGGGTCTTGCAAAGGGGGAGTAGGAGGTCCATATAAGTGCTCAGCAACTTCTTATTATGTGCCATCAAGTTGGAACAAACTTATAGTGATTCTAATAAGGCTTTTCAGGTAAGTGAGATATTTAAGGAGTGGTTTTACCAGCTCCACATCCCCAGTGAGTTTCCATGGCTGAGATTTGAACCCAGGCCTCCTGAGTCCTAGTCCATCATTCCATCCACTACACCACACTGAGTATCTCAGTGACTCTTAAGGGGTTTATAAAATCTTTCAGAAAGGGGGGAGAGGAGTTATAGAGTAAGTCTAAAGCTCTGAGCTACAGTGTCTAAATTTACAGCAATAAGTTGAAGGGTCTTTTCAGGGAAGTCTTAGGCATAGTATTTGATTCAAGTCCAGTTGCTTTTGCATATTGATCATGCACACACTGGCCCTTTCAGATGATCCATTTGGAATAATCGGTATTTTTATTTACTAAAAATGGAAGGCAGCATTTTCTCCATATGAGAGTTCAAAGGGTCTTTAATTTTAGTTTCCTCTCACTGTCCACCATATCTTTAGCTGAATATCACCTGCAAACATCCCATGCAGTATTTGACATACAGTTGTTTTAGAAATGACCACTTGGCTTCATTTTCTTTCAAGCGGCATTTCCTTACTAGAGAGACAAAGTTTTTGCCACATGCTGTCTTGATGTTATTCTTATTCTTAAAAAACATCAGGCACAATGAATCAAAATTCTAAAAACATTAACTGGTATTGCATAACAGATACAAATTTTTAACTGAAAACCTAAGTATCTGCTAAATCGTTGTTGTTGCTGCTATTGTTGTTGTTCTTATATAGAGCTTCAATTATATTACAAGGCTTTCACATTTAAACCATGATACGTTTAAACCATGATATGTTTAAACCATGATATGTACAGATGTGGCTAAGATAACCTGCGCTCAGAAGAGTTCCTTTGCTGACTTCCAAGTAAGACCATCCTTTTACTCAACGGGGGCAAACCCACAACCTACTTACAGCTCTGCAGCCTGTTCCGGTGGTGGCGGTGTTCATCTGACAGGAGGTGAACGAAGGTGTCACTGTAGGAAAATTTGAGACGACGGCTCCACTGGGGATCTCCTTTCCCTCTCCCCCAAAGACATGCCAGCTCCTCTTTGGGACTTCCCTTCATCTTCTCGCCGGCGTACAGCTCCATCAGTTCCAATTCATGCTTGGCCGCTGTCTCTAAAACTCTCTGCTTGTTATAATATCTGACAAAGTTATTAATAATGGGATGGATGGGTAGTGCAATGGCTATAACCCCACATAGGAAACTGATGGCAGCGTTGAGTTTCCCCAGTGTTGTCTTTGGGTAGATGTCGCCATAACCCACAGTGGTCATGGTGATGATGGCCCACCAGAAGGACTGAGGGATGCTCTTAAAGAGTGTGTCTGGATTGCTTTGCTCCACGGTGTAACCAAGAGCAGAAAAAACGAAGATCCCAACAGCCAAGTACATGAGGAGAAGGCCCAGTTCCTTGAAGCTTCGCTTCAGAGCATAGGTCAAAGTCTGGAGGCCTGATGAGTGGCGAGCTAGCTTGAAAATCCTAGCAATCCTCATGATCCTGAGTGCTTGGACAGCTTGCTGCACATTGGTTAACTCCATCAGTCTGGTTCCCAAGTGGGTCAGGATCAGGCTGACGTAGAACGGAAGGATTGCAAATATGTCGACGATGTTCAGGAAGGAAAGAGCAAAGTGCAACTTATTGGAAGAGGAAATGAGCCTGAGGATATACTCAAGGGTAAACCAGACGATGCAAGCTGTCTCAATCTTATCCAGAGCTGGGTGTTCCACAGATTTCCCTTCATCATCCGTCACTTGTAGCTCGGGGATTGTACCCACGCACATCACGACAGATGAGGTGAGGATCAGTAGAAAAGACATAACTGCTATTACTCTTGCTGGGTAGGAAGACTCTGGCTTTTCCAGGAATTTCCAAATGTACTTTTGGCACTTCTTCCACCGGTTTTCAGATTTGTCCCACCCCAAGTCATCCAAGATCAGCTGGACCCGGCAGGTGATCTCTTCAAGTTCTTCCTTTTTCTCACTGAGGAGAGTTTTGCAACAATCATCCAGGAATTTCAGGTCCACTTTCCAAAACTCCATTTCATTCTTGAAACAGATGGGGCATATTCCTTTCTTCATGTGGACCTCCCCAAAGTAGTAGACCTCGATTATGCATTTAAAGGCATCTGGGTCTCGGTCAAAATAAAATTCTCTCTTCCCAGGATCATAGTCATCACAAAGGGAGAAAATGGTGTCATATCCCCCTGATAAACAGTTCACTAGCTTTGCTAGCCTGGTGTCGGGATACTGGTTGAGATGATCTCCATACAGCACCTGTCTCACCCCACCAACATTGATGATAATCTCCGTTTCTTCACTGTTTTCTGACCCACCACTGTCCAGCTCTTGAAAACTAGCTTCACTTGCCATTTTAAATGTTATCACAACCTTGTTTTCTCCAGCCTTGTCTGCCCCCAAAATCTTGACCGGAATGGATTTGCAAGAAATCAAAAGCTAGCTATGAATAAATTTTGAAGGCAATGGCATTTGAAGAGGACTAACAAAGGAGAAACAGACCTGCAGGCTACGAAAGTATGCAACAAGCTGCTGTGAAGAAGGAAGAAGTCCGCCAGCCACTTGTGAGGGACAGCACAGTCGTTTGGAAAGCAGCTCTTGTTTTTAGACAGCTGACTTTAAAAAAGAAAAGAAAAGGAGAAACACTTAGAGAAACTCACCGGCATTTGCGATTGTTTGGAGCTGTCTTTGTCATCAGAGAAGTATATCCATGTGCTCTAGGTCTTGTACCTGAAAGTGAACTAAACAGACAGTTTGGAGAGAGGAAATGTATATCCTACTAAGAGCAGCTGTTGCAGTGTTTTGTCTTCATAAGGAAAAAATCTGCCGAGTGTCTTTGTATCCAGAGGTCTTCTGGAACGGCTCGCCGACTCCTTTGTGCAACGGTTTGCAGCGTGCGCCAAGGAGAAAGTTGTGCTTGTTTTCCCCTTGCTGTTTTTCATGCACAATAGGAATTCCAGGCTGACGTCAAGTGCTTCCCAGACTCTACCCTCTTCTGGTGAGATGCAGCAAAAGCACGAGCAGTACTGGGGAGACTATTAGGTACAGTTGAGGATGTGTCTCTAGAGATACAGAGCACGCTTTTATTTTCTGTCCTCTTCTTTTTCTGTACTGGGTGGGAGAGAGACATAAGGAGTGCTGTGAACCATGTTTCTGGACTAAATAAAAGAGGACAGAATAGAAGACCTGGTAATGTAAAAGGGAAATCTTTTTGGCAATGGAAGATGGCTTTTATGCAACACAAACCTATGTCCTGTTGCCTCCACCTCTACTAGACTTCTGCAACCTGGGGTCCACCAGAGGTTCTGGACTGAAACTCCCATCAACCTCAGACAGCAAGGGAACTGCAGTAAACAGTTGCAGTTCAACACACCTCCTGGAGGCTGAGCAACACCAAGGCTTCTCAATGACACATTCTGTCAGGAGAGACAACTCCTTGCACATCCCCAAGCAAAGCAACCTCTTTGTTTTAATTTTGGTATGAAAATGGAAGCGTGGATGACGTCTGCTCTTTATTATACTGAATGTTTGGCAGTGTGCATGCTTTCAGAACAGCCTTACCATCCTGTGAACCTAATCAAGGTTGTGTAACCTTAGCCTCCTTCCCTACAAAAATACATTATATTAATAACCTCACTTGCCTGTATCAAGCTAAATTCACTCTTCACTGTCTCCTATAATTGACCTTGCAATACATCACGACTTGCATCACAAAACAAAGAGTGATAAACAGTGGCAGAATCCTGTTGTGCAAGTTACAACCAATGAACTGTGATGTTCATCAGAGCTGTAGCCAAGCCACAGCCGAACCAATGGAAGCGTGGATGACGTCTGCTCTTTATTATACTGAATGTTTGGCAGTGTGCATGCTTTCAGAACAGCCTTACCATCCTGTGAACCTAATCAAGGTTGTGTAACCTTAGCCTCCTTCCCTACAAAGATGCATTATATTAATAACCTCACTTGCCTGTATCAAGCTAAATTCACTCTTCACTGTCTCCTATAATTGACCTTGCAATACATCACGACTTGCATCACAAAACAAAGAGTGATAAACAGTGGCAGAATCCTGTTGTGCAAGTTACAACCAATGAACTGTGATGGCATCATCAGCTGTAGCCAAGCCACAGCCGAACCACAGCTCTGCCATTTGCAGAAAATCAAAAGCTTCCTGTTCCTACACAGGTTCTGTAGGGATCCCTTCATCTCGGGGAAACCTGTGGAAGCCACAGAACAGGAGGAGGAACACCTGAATGCTTGAAAATCCCAGTGATGGATTCCCCCCCCAAGCATTAAAGAGCTCCCCCTCTCTTTCTGTGGTTCCTGAAGGCTTCTCCAGGACAAAGTGGATTCCTAGAGATCCCCAGGACTCGTGGGGGGAATAGGACACTTCTAATTCCCCCCCCCAAAAAATGACCACAGCTAGGCTCTGGCTTGTGACGGCATCAGAGTTCTATGGTTGTAACTTTCACAACAGGATTCTAGCCATTGCCTACTGAACTATGAGCTGCCAGTTCCCAAGCTAGATGGGGCTGGGCATCTATTCCTGGCATACTGTCACAGAGAAGGATGATGCCAGCTGCTATTTTGAGAGCCAGTTCCCAAGCTAGATGGGGCTGGGCATCCATTCCTGGATGATGCCAGCTGCTATTTTGAGAGACATCACAGCAATTGTTCTTCAACTAAGGAAGTGTGGTCCAAGACATTTTTCTGCCTGAGGCAAAGGATAAGACAGTACCCCTCCCCTTTCACACACAGAAGCCAATTAGAATAATAGCCGGTCCTTACTACGTTGCTGCTGAGGGTCACAGTGTCTTTTCCCTCCGCTGATGATCCCTAAGGAGCTCAGATGGGCCTGCCAGCCAAACTGTGTAGTAGACATCGCTTTGCCCCCCCCAGCTACTCCCTACTGTCCCCTGCTCCCAGCTTCTTCTCCATTGAGGCAGCCACCTCACTGTGCCTAGTGGTAGAGCCGGGGATGGTTCAACTGCAGGAGTTTTTATTTATTCAACTTCCACTTGTTCTCTTTATTCTGTTTTCCACCTTATATCATGCAGAGTAAATAAAAGACTTACAGTCATGTCCTGTGGGATTTAATTGTTGCTTCTGTGGTGTTAATGAGCCTCTCTTGCTAAACCATAAAGCTTGTTTTCAATGACCAATCAAGGGAACAACATAAATAAATTGTTTATAGTTGGTGATTAACACAACTGTCCACTCCTCCACTTTAATGTGTTTTCAGTCTACTTTGGAGGAGGCAAAACAAATAGAAAAAGGGACCAATGCAGTGTGATTTAAGGAGTAAAATCTACATTGCAGAGAGCACTTCATTGGAAGAAGCTATTCCTGTCATGTTGAAAGCATCTGAAGAAGCAGAAGCTATTCACATTTCTTGGAAATGGGCCAGGGAGACCAAAAACTTGGAAAAATTATTTTGGTTTTGGACTAATGTTTCCAGAATCTCTAAATACATCTGGCTACAGGCTGGGGGGAGCCTGGGTGTTACAATGCAAAAGACTAGCTTTACTGAGCTCTAATCCAGGAGACTGTTGCCTTCTAGATGTAGCAGAATTCATTCTCCAAGGTAACTAGAATCCATAAATACCTGGAGGGTCCCAAGTTTCCTGGCCATTCGCAACCAGTGTGGGCGTCAGTGCAGCCCTCTCCTAAAAGGTGTTTCTCTGTTTCTACTGTAAGATGGCAAATGCTTTAATCCCATAGCTACCTATCTGATAACAACCATGTTGAACTCAATGGGATTTACTTCTGAGTCGACATGTTGTAGACTATGCTATCTATGTGTTTTCTGACGGGTGAAAGAAGCACACTTGGCCCATGTTCAGAGACATTCTCTTATTTTCATAGTTTCGATGATTTTCGATTTTGAGAGTGCAGAGTGTTTGCTAAGTCTTAGCTGAGCCCAACACTCAAAGGCAAACTTCGCACCCACCCAGCGAGGCTAGATGAGCTACGCCAGGTACTTCTCAAACATCCAGCATCAGACTGTGAGTTACCTGAAACCATTTGTGCTACAAGCAACTTCCTACATTCTGCTTCTCCTCCACACATAGTGGTCTTGTATTGGACACACATCCCATAGTACTGGTCGTGCTCATAATGGAAAAGAATAATCTGGTTGGCATTCGTGAAGGTACATGAGTTCGTTGATGGGCGATCCTGTCCTCCAGCAAAGGCTTGGGCTTTGTCCTTTTCAACCCTCTGAGTCTCAGGTTTGTGTCATCTAAAATAAGTCTGAGGAAAGAAAAGATAACTGCTTCCAGGCTCAATTTTTATACAAGCTGTTCATGTAGGTTAAGGATGTTTCAATTTGTCTTTTCTGACTGACACCCAAGAGACAGGAAAGGAGGCTTACGGGGCGGCAAACCTATCAGGTTTACTCAGAAATCCATCCAGTTCAATTCCACAGTTCAATACCTAGGTAGGTAGGTTTTAGATTGCCATTTAGAGATGGGCATTTCATGGCATTTGAACTCTGGGTTCAGGACTAGAGAGGGGCATGAACCTCCCAGCTAGGGGGTGGGCATATGCGCAGAAGTGGTGGCCGTGGCTTCCCTGCCAGGAACCTGCCACTGCCTCCAAAGATGGCACCCGTGGCCTGGGTTCAGGACTAGAGAGGGGCATGAACTGAACCATGAACCTCCCAGCTAGGGGGTGGGCACATGCGCAGAAGTGGTGGGCATGGCTTCCCTGCCAGGAATCTGCCACTGCCTCCAAAGATGGCACCCATGGTCTGCAGAGAACCAGGCCAGGGGGGAGCTTATCTTGTTATCTTTGTACCTTCAACAGCTTCTGACTGAGGCGGGGGGGCACCCCCTGAAATTGGGGATGGGGTGAAGCATCCCTTCCGTGCTCAGCCTGCAAACCACCTCTAAAGCAAAACTAGTCTAAACAACACTAAAAGGTCTTCCCCAGGACAATGAATCAAAATGCAATAACCAGCATTTACAGACCCCAAAGTAACTATTCCAAGCTGCAGTGTTTGGAGTGTGTGTGTGTTTTAATATCCCAGGTCAATATCCCAGGTCAATTGTGTCCCTCCATTCCATGGTCCCTGTGAGCCTCTCCACCACCACCATCACCACTGCAAGAAATATGCAAGTTTGCAGTCTACACAGAAACTGCACTAAAGAGAGAGAGAGCTAGAATTCTGCTCATATTTTTTATACATTGGTTAAGTCACATTCAGGTCAGTGAGATGAAGCGCATATCGCGGTGGGCTGGACTGCAGGCATAATGTATGGATGCTACAGTACAATTACAACTCTTCTGCGAAGGCAATGATAATGAGCTCCAGCACAGCCATTCTTTTCATGATCTAGTATTGTTTGCTACGAGGCATCCATGGATCTCCCACACTTGTTACAGCTTTTACCTCAGTTGGCTGAATGTTTCACCCTCAACGTTGGTGGGGGGAAATGGCCTGTTTTTTTCTAGTGAAGTGAGTAAGGAACAAGGATGGCCTTACTTGAAGCAGCAATGTGCTTTTCGACAGCTGAAAGGGAAATGACTTCAGCTTCTCTCACCTTGTGGTGCAGTGGGTAAACTGCAGTACTTCAGTCAATACTCTGCTCACAACCTGAGTTTGATCCCAACAGGATCTGGTAGCTGGCTTGAGGTTGACTCAGACTTCTGTCCTTCTCAGATCAACAGAGTACCCAGCTTGCTGGTATATGTGTGTGTGTGTGTAATGTGTAAACTGCATAATTAAATAGTAAAAGGCCCAGAAAGTGCTTTAAACACTATGGAGAAATATATAAGCAGCACACTTTTTGCTTTACCACTGGAATTATGCAGATTAGCTTGCATCAGTTGGTGACAGGTCTGCAGTCCTTAAGCGTGGGATTCCCTCAATAAAAACAGAAAGATTGCCTCAATCATCTCTCTGCAATATTAACATGGTTTCAGCTCACTAATGGGCTATTAATATGGCCCATTAGTTTCTGGACACACTTATCACAATTTCCACAGAGCTGCTCTGCCAAATATTGACATTACATCACACAATTTTCTTCATCTCTCCTTCTTGCATTTAACATGCTTTTTTCCCCTTTGGTTGGCCTGCTCTTGATAAATAGGGTG